TCATTATTTATTTGTTAAAGTAACTCACGTGATTCAGTATCCCTAATGTCTTTACACTTACATGAACAATCTCCAGGGTTTTTATGATAGTAATGATTTAGTACTATAGAGAATATTAATACTGTTATTAATATTCCATAGTTTGGTTTGTAAGAAGCATTAAAAACCAGGGAGTACTGGACAGCTGTTTCATGCTAGTTTGGGAATCATCGAAAGTACGCACCCACTGGGATTCTAACCCAGGACCTTCCGGTTACAAGGCAAGCTCGTATGCCATTCAGCCACTGGGACCCGATTCAGTGACTCATGAATTCTAATTTATTAATAATAATTAATCGTTATTATATTTGCACACACACCTGTGGACCCTGAATGCACGATCGGGCATAGTATTCTTTTGCTCACCAGTCAGCGATTTAGCTTAAAATAATAATTTTCAAAAATTCACCCTAGTGGGACAATAGGTGGGTATTTCTGAAGAGTCCTTAACTTGGACGAAACATATGTCCAGGACTCCCTCTTTTTCACTTACTATCTAGGTGATGTTAGTTTGTGACCTAAATTGAGACGAATCAAATCCATGCGAACCAACACTTGTAGGCTTTTAAGGCTAATCTCTAAATGTGACTTTATTCTCCTCTCCAATATTCTCAATATGTAAAACAGCAGGAAATAATCTCAAACTTTTACGCATATTTCTGTAACTAAATAAATTCAAGTTAAGCAGAGAACACCGATAACTCTATTCGCTTAGTGTTTATAAAATATTTCATTGTCAATTCGCTTGGTCTGAAATACAGATATTTATAATAATGTATCATGAAAAGTTGAGTGGAGCTTCAAAATTAATTTCTACCATTTGGGATTACATGATTACGAAATTTCAGCTTTACATAGTCCTGCTCTACTTGTTTTTATGCAGACTAATTCATGGGTGAAATTTCTTAAGCTTACTTAGTCTATAAACCTCATAAAATGTTTCTACTTACAAGTAGGTGAGAGCTTGTCAAGAGTGTACCGATTTTGGCTACTACATTATGGCGGATTAATGCAATATTCACTCAAATATTTAAACACCTATTTGTAATAACTGTAACGCCATAAAGTCGTTTGATACACAATTCTCACAATCCCAACATTGTCCAACAGGGATGAGATCAGTCGTTAAGGATTTCAATAATTAATTTGCCTCGAAAATGAATAAAATAAGTTGGTTTGTGAGGATTAGCTTTGTTTCTTACGAGTTGATCACGGATTGATATCAGTTAGAGAACCACTGAAAACCAGGGAGTAGTGGACAGCTGTTTCATCCTAGTTTGGGTATCATCGGAAGTACTCATCCACCACAGAGGTTCGAACTCAGGACCTTACAAACCAACTCTTGAAAGTTAGTCTGATGCTCACTAGTGACTTGCTACAGGATGGAGTTTCCCGAAGTTCTATTGAGAAGTCGTGACGAGTACGGTCCATCCATATGTCACGTGTGAGGATGAATGTCCCACCGACGACATTGGCTGGTGGCCGCGCTAAAATCACTAATTGGTAGAAATTAGAATTCATGATTCATTGAGTCGGGTCCCAGTGGCTGAATGGTATACGAGCTTACCCTGTAACCAGAAGGTCCTGGGTTCGACCCCTGATGGCGGATGCGTACTTCCGACGATTCCCAAACTAGGATGAAACAGCAGCTGTCCATTACTCCCTGGTTTTCAATGCTTCTCTAACTGATATCAATCCGTGATCACATCTCAACAAATAAAGTCTCTGGTACATTTTCAGTATATTCTAAGTGCGAAACGAAAGTGATATGGATTTGATCAGTCTGGAATATAATGAGAAAATATACAAATGGTTACAAGTGGAACAATTTCCAAAGATAAATGATTCCTTTTTTTAACACACAGTGTTTGTTTGCATATATCCCAAGCAAGCTATATGCTCGATATTCATGAGCATACAAAAAGCCTTAACCACTCATCAAGTAATCTAATTTATGCAGCACTTTTTACATATTTCAAATGACAGTAAAAAAGATCTTTTATCTGCGGTTATCAGACAGCAAGTAAAGCAAACAAAAAAACAACACTTTCTTCCGTTTAATTCATGGTAAAATCCTTATGATTTGCAGTCATTTTTATGCTTGAAATGAATTTCTCAATCCAGACTATTCTTATTCCCATTTTTATTTTTATCGAATTAGATTTTAGTTATATTTGAAGAGATTATTTTTGAAAACTGGAATTTTACTTCAATATATATTTGAGAGTAGTCTTTTATCCACTCTAGTGAAAAAAATACGAGCTTTAAACGTCTACTTCTGTCGTGTACATTAAAATACTGTAGGAATTTCAAGAAATGTCAAGTAATCACATAATGAGATTTAAGAGATGTTTTAAAACTGAGTTGCTTTTTTCTCAAAGAATCTCATAAATCTTGTTATGTTATACACTTAAGGAGGGTGATATCTCTAAGTAAACGTCATCTCACCGTGTTTGCTAAAGACAAAGTAGTTATCAGGATAAATAGCGGAGAGATTTTGATATGCTCTAAAAAGACTGACTGATACATAGTTAATCATGTACCTTCTGTGTTAAACTACTACTTCACTTAGTGAGTATAGGTTTATTCCTCGTAAACTTCTGATATAAATAATGAGTAATAATACAGAAAATTTGTGGCTCAAGTGGATGATTTTGAATTAGTTTTGTTCTCTAAGCTGGTTGGTTGAATTGCGAAGTCCTTGTCGTCCTTCTGAACAAAAACTTCAGTGCATGTTTCAGCATAAAGTAAACTCATCTGAATTCTCTATGAATGATATTTTTAGAATTTTTAATATATTGGTGCATTGAAGTTTCTGTAGCGGTTTGGTTGAGTTTTGGGGGTGGAGTTGCTAGCACCACGCCCCAACCCTTTCTCTATATCCGGGCTTGGAACCGGCTAGAAAACTAGCAAGCTACTAGTCCAGGCGAGGTCCCACAAGGGAGGAGGCGAGTGGGACGTCAGTGCAAGGGTGACATGCAGCAGATCGTGTGAAGAGGAGTTGAAAGAGTATGGACTAACATGGATGCAGGTGAAAAGTACAGCAGAAGGAAGACAGAAGCAAGTGGAGACGTGCAGTTGAAGCCCTATGTCCCACTAGGAACCCAAGGGAACAACAATAATAATGAATGATATAATCGTGTCTCCTGGTAACCATCTTCGTGACTGATAGTTGCTTTACATCCCTATTGATCATTTTTATTGACCTGAACATTTGAACATTCTTGTCACGTGATTTAGTTTTAATTAGTTGGTAAATTTCGTCTATATTGATATGTTTGTTAATCGCTGATTTACTTGAGTACCAGGCTTCTAGAAATTCTCCTGTCTCTTTTGATGTTACCTCTATTTAAAAATTTCTGCATTATCCCAATCAAACTGATGTCCATAACTGTCTACATGCACTGATACGAAAGAATACATATCATGTCTTTTTACAACTAACTTTTGTTCTCGGATTCGGATTCGAAAAGGACTCCAACTCTGACTGATGTAATTTTTACCGCAGTTCACGCAATTTATTTTCTAAATGGTATTAACTTTATCTTCTTTTTCTGTTGGATGTTTTGGTTTGCATAATATCGAATGAAGTGATTGTGCCGGCTGGCTTGTGTGCTATATCTATTTTAAACGGTCTGAATTTTCTAGCTGTTATTTCAAGGATACCTTTTATGCATCGTAGGATGAATGCTTTTGTGGTCTTTGATGTTGACTTGGTGTTGTGATTCGAGTATATACAATTTGTGATGAAATTATGAGAATGTCCATTCTTTTTGAAGATGGTTGGTAGGTATTTTCTTTCTCCATCAACAACATCAGAGTATTTATTATCTATTTGTAACCTTTCTTTTCACTACTTCTACGCATAAACACTAAGAAACCTGTAACTCCTTAAAAAACTTAATTATATATCCATTAGGAGAAATTTATTCAACAGGAAGGTATTTTAGTTATTCAAGAAGCTCATCAGAAGTGGCAGCTTCATTATCCTTGCAGAATAAACTCACTCAGAGTATTATTAATTACTTTCTTCTCATAAATTTAATATAGTAATCAGTCATTCTGTATTGGTTGAGCGTAGTATTTCGGCCAGATATTTGTTGTATGATTGCGTTATACTTCTTCCTATAAGAAGACGTATTGGTGCTGTAAATTGTCAGGTATGGAATGAGAAAAATGGGACATACATTGCTTGCATTATATATATATGTATATATAAGCCTAATTTATGAGTTTCATTTTGATGTCAGTGTGGCAGGAAATTTAAGACCAGTTTGTATACATTTAGGAAATACTGTCAATTATTATTATAAATTTGCGAATGGGATTAGTAGATAAATAATTCATTTGAACAGACAATGCATCATATAGCTCATTGACTTATTCTGAAATAACCATGAATTAGGCATTACAATTAGAATACTGGTCAAAATAACTGCTACTCAGATAAAAGATAGCCTTAAAATGTATCTAGATGATTACAAAAATGCACACTTGTATTTCCTTCACTCAAAGATATTTCTTTCAACCGATGGACATTAATTCTCTGAATCTTTTCAAGCTTGAGCACCTAATATTAATAGCATTGACTACAACATAATGCGTTCTCAACATCTTCTGACTCATACTGTTTATCCCATCGTAGATTTCGTCACTAACCAATATTATTTAGAGATCAATGAAAACCAGGGAACGCTGAGCAGTCGTTTCGTCTCCGTTGGATATATCCATGTGCATATCCATGACATCATCAGGGATTTCAGTCGGGACCTGCAGATCACAATGTCAAGCTCATAGACCACTAAGCCAATTGGTCCGAAATTCAATGACCTGCAGGCTATGTAGCCCACCACTGGTTGATTTTTTTTCATTGTATTTCTTAATTATTCCATTTTAATTAACATGTGACTTAGGTATTTTGGACTTTTGAATATGTTTATTCATTTTTCATGTGTTTTCAGGAAAGAAAGTTCATCTGATTTGCTTAGCAGATATAAAACAAGAAAAATATTGGGTGTAGGCGAGTCTTCTGGCAATGTGAATGCTTCGAAGGTAAAACAAAATTTCATAAATGTGTATGCATATATATATATATATATTAATTTATTTATTTATTTACATAAATATTTTAAAGATAACTATGGTCTTAACCATACAATAACTAAGAAAACTTCGATTATCAGCTTCATTAATTCTATTTTCAATGGTATATGACATACCAATATTCCGCTTTCAGGGTTAAAACTAAGAGACAACAATTCTTCTGTATTTAATCAATCTATAATGTAATGAGTCTAAAATGATACACAATGTAATTTCCTAACCAAATTGTGTTAGTCATTCAGCGGTAGAATAACAGCCACTGACGAATGGGGTTATGGATTCGACTCCCGGCCAACGCTCTCTTAAATACCTCATTAGCCGATAGTAATCTCGATAAAGACTTAAAGTTGGGCATGAGTCTAGCAACCTCAATGTGTAAAAACTACACCACTGCTACTGAAACTTCGAAGTTTAAGGCTTGAAGCCTTATGTTCCCCAAGGAACTCAAAGGATTAAAATAAAATAAACATCATACACAAATTCGTTCGTTGGCGTTTGGACATTTATCAATCTCAATGAAGATATATACGTTTTGTAGTTTGTTCGCGAAGCTTGTTTCTTTGTGTAACTTAATATCTTGTAGAAAACACTGATATTTTTTACTAGTTAATTCACAAAGCAAATATTTGATTTCATACTACACATGAAAAGTAGCTTTTTAACCTATTAGTTTTATTGTACCTAATTGTATAATTATCAGTATATTTCTCTATATTGCTGCCAATAACAAAAGACTATATAGTAGATTAGCTTAGTAATCCTGAAATCTGCAGCCCAGAATCAGTAGATGTATAGAACACTCTTCTGAGAAAGACACTACCTGAGAATACCTATCCATCACGCTTTATAGATAAACACATAATGCCGAAAATCAACAAAGAGAAACCCATCTCTGTGCCGAAGAAGATTCTGTACATGAATGTGGCGTTCAAAGGCGACCTTTTGGCCGAAATCCTGGAGACAGAAGAATATCTAACGCCCTGAAAAGAACATTCTCCGCTTCTACATTACGATTGACATTCTGAAGATGTCCATTGTTCTTCAGCAACTCCAAAGATAATTTATCGCGTTTGACCACGTCTCTGTGTATCTACCAATTTACTTGCTGATGTGGAGCTAGGTATATAAGTCGGTCGATGCGTGTATTATCTATAAGAATCAGATAAAAGTGTCCCGCTTGGCTACGAAAAGGTAACATTGGATCAATAAAAACTGCTATAATTGAACATATATTCAACAGTGGTCACTCAGTATGTACAGGGAATTCATTCAAAGTCATCTAAAAAGTGGAAAGAAGCCTCATGAAAACGGTAAGGTCCCCTTAACTTGGCATTTCCGAGGCCTTAGCGATTCGGATAGAAAACCCTGATTGATGTACACAGAAAAACTTCTCCGCCCCTTCTTTCTACCTTGGGTATAATTCCAGGTTCTAACCATATGTTGATAATTTTATTTTAGATTTTTTGTATGACATCTTAATATCTTTTTCTTATTATTTATTATTATTGCTTCCTTTAATTCTTAGAGGAACATAGGGCTTCAGCCACACGTCTCCATTACGTTCGGTTCTCTGCCAACCTTTTCACCTGGCTCCACGTCTCCCTACATACTTTCATCTCCTCCTCACATGACCTCCTCCAAGTCACCCTCACACTGATGACCAACTCGCCGCCTCCCGTTCGGCTTCCACTCGAGCGACGGCTTGTCTAGTGATGTCACTTGATGGTTTCTCTTCACAGCGTATGGCCAATCCAACTCCATTTCTTCCTGCTTATTTGTTGCACAACTGGTTCTTCCTGGGTTGGTTCGCTCATTGCCAGAGATCCTTCCCTGTTGCTGATCTTTTCTGGCCAGCCATCTGATCTTGAGTATTGAGCGAAGGCAGATGTTTATGGGGTCTATAGTTTGTTCGAAGTGCTCTTCATGATACGCCAAGTCTCTGATCCCTATAGCGAGTAACACTGACTTCACATTGGAGTTGAAAGTTCGGATATTATCTCTCAGGCTAAGTGCTGTTGACCTTCACACAGGCTTGAGAGTAATGAAAGCTTGCCTTGCTTTTCTGATTCTGGCTTTGATATCCTCGTCAGTTCCGTCGGCCTGTAGTTGAAACGATGCTTCCCAGGTGGGTGGGTGGGTAGGTAAAGGAGGTTGCTTCTTTCAGATTTCTCCCATTTCTGCTGGCTGATTGTTGTCTGTTGTTGTTGTTGTTGTTGGTGGTGGTGTTGGTCAGGAATCTTCATCATCTCTGTTTTATCTGTGTTCACTTGAAGTCCTATCTTCTCTGGATGCTTCTTCTGTCAACTTGTTGCTTTTCACTTGCATATCTTCCAGTTTGTGGGAAATCAGACACATATCATCGGCGAAGTCCAGATCCTCCAAGTCTTTTGTGTCAGTCCATTTTATGCCTGTTCCCTCGTTGGTTGCCATTGTCTGTCGCATTATCCAATCTGCTGTAATCAGGATGATCGTTGGCGATAGTAGACAGCCTTGTCGCACTCCCGTCCTCACTTTGAGGGCTTCCGTAAATTCCTTGTTGTGGATTACTTGGCATGCAGCATTGTCGTATAGCTGTTGGATGAGATGTATAATTGTCGATGGGACCTCGAAGTAGCGAAGTAGTTGCCAAATCACCTCTCGATCGACGCTGTCGAATGCCTTTTCAAAGTTGATGAAGTTGAAACAGAGAGGTGACTGCCATTCCAAGCTTTGTTCAATGATGATCCGTAGAGTGGCGATTTGATCAATACATGATTTGTTTCTCCTGAATCCGGCCTGTTCCGGACATCTTTTTCTTAACCAAACCTTTATTTACTCTTTCTATTACATAATTTATTTTGGACACGTGTCTCCATTAACACCCTGCTTCATATTGCGCAACCTTTGTCAATACTTACCAATCTTCCATCCTCCTAGTTACAATTTCGATTATTCAACACATTTTTAAAACATTTTGATAACGTAAACAGTAACCCTAACTTATTTTTATTTTATCTTTGTTTGACAGTCGTAATGTACACACACACACACACACACAAAATAATTATTTATAAATGCGGCTGTACAACCCAGTGAATGAATTCGCCTAGATGAGACTCTTCGCCGAACTTTTTGTTCTTATAATCATAGCTGCATGGGAAGTCTCTATGAATTCCTAAAATTAACTACTAGTAATTTTCATCCAATTCTTTTACTGCGATATATACTGCTGAAAGGCATACTGTGCGGTTAAAGTCACTACTTTTTACAACTGAGGGCGTTTAACGAAGTTATTATTATTGTTCCCTTGAATTCCTAGTGGAACATGGGGCTTCAACTACACATCTTCACTTGCTTCTCTCTTCTGCTGTACTTTTCACCTGCATCCATGTTAGTCCATACTCTTTCAACTCCTCTTCACACCATCTCCTCCATGTCACCCTTGTACTGACGTCCCACTCTCCGCTTCCCTTTCAGGTTCCACTTCAGCAATGGCCTGACAAGCGATGTAGCCCAGTGGCCTCCTCAGCGAGTGTCCAATCCCTCTCCACTTTCTCCAACATATTTATTGGGCGATTGGTTCTTGTTTTGTTTGTTCCTTCTCATAGTTTCTTGTTGGTGATTCTTTCCGTCCCGGCCATCTGATCTACAGCATAGAGCCAGCGAAGACAGTTGTTGATAAAGGTCTACAACAGGCTGTTGGAAATATTCTTTGTGATCCGCCCGCCAAGTTTCTGATCCGTATAGAAGAAGTGACTTGACGAAGTTATGGCATCCCCAAAACAAATTACACAGGGTTATACTTTCTAGAATCAAACAGTGTAATATAAAATAAATATTTAGATCAGGTAGATAAAAATAAATGTATAGTGCTATACACTACTGACTAATTGATATGAGTGGTATATAGCATCATGAATTTGCCTTCGCTTTCTTTATCCTCTTTGCTAGTATCAGGTGAATCACATACTGTGAATTGAATAGTTTCAATTTCCGAAGGAAACTGTGGTAAAACTTCATCTTTAATTTTAAACATTACAGGTGGGAAATTAATTTGCGAATTTCGAATATGATGGAGATAAAAACAAAAAAACTGATTCTGTTTGTTTCAAACAAGATTTCAGGCTTATATGACTTGGATTTATCTATTAGGTGATAACTGCAAGGTAAACACTAGATGTATAATATATAATACATTATGCCACAACAGAATGGTCAGTGCGTTCATTTTGTATGGGAGATACTGATTCTTAGGATTCGATGTCACGATAGTCTCTTCAACAATAAATTTTTTTTATTATAGCTTGATTCCACACCGTATTTTTTGGTACAGGTATGGAATTTTCAGCATATGATATCGGTAGCTCAAATTTTGCAAGCCAACCATAGATACCAGGTGTGCGTCGGCAGAGGATCGAACCACGGACCATGTGCATGGTCGGCGAGAGTCCTAACCACTATGCCACCGACGCACTAATACATTTTATTTTCTTCCGTTTTTTAGCCTTAAAACGCTTAGTGTTTCAATCAGCCATGAGTAGACTCTTATGTTTCACTTCTGTATATGTGTCGCATTTAACATGTTCTTAAAAAATGACATATTTGATTTTTGCATTTGATGTAAATTGTAAAAAGCGCTGATCTACTTCGACTCTAAAATACTCAGACTCGTGTAGGGCTGGAATGTGTCAGTGTTGCACACCAGACAGAAACAATCTTAAACTTTTACCGATTTCTTTGGTTTTAGACGTTTCAGCAATGGACACCCATAATCTAACGGGAGATTGAGTGAAGGACCTTCAGATAATAAAGCGAGACCAACCACAGTCCAGCCAATGGTGTGGAATTCAATGATTCGTGTGTCCCAACTTGTATTTGTTCTCTACCTCAAACCAATGCATTTGCTATACACTCATATGGGGAACCCTACTTGTCATAACTTCACATTAGAACTTTAGGTTATCTGTCCA